ACTTTGCTGAAATCTTCTATTAGTTCCAGTAGTTTTCTTGTGGATTCTTTGGGGTTTTCTGTGTATAAGATCGTATCATCTGCAAATGGAGATACTTTACTTCTTCCTTACCAATTTGGATGCCCTTTATTTCTTTTTCTAGCCTAATTGCTCCAGGTAGGACTTCCAGTACAATGTTGAATAAAAGTGGTGATAAAGGGCATCCTTGCCTGGTTCCCGTTCTCAACGGGAATGCTTTCAGACTCTTTCCATTTAGGATGATGTTGGCTGCTGGCTTTGTATAAATGCCCTTTATTATGTTGAGGAATTTCCTTTATATTCCTATTTTGCTGAGAGTTTTTATCATGAATGAGTGTTGGACTTTGTCAAATGCCTTTTCTGCATCAATTGATAAGATCAAGTGGTTCTTGTCTTTTGTTTTATTTATGTGATGGATTACTCAGTGTAAAGAATTTTTTAAGCCTCCATTATGTGCATATATAAAAGGAGTGTACCAGGCTCCTACTCTCCAGAGAGGGGGCAAAGTTTTCCTAGCTTTATCATCTATTATAGATACAGCATCCATCATAAGTTTTCATAAGCATGTTGTAGGTGCATTTACAGTGCATTTATGAAAGTGGATGGTGGACTACCCATGAAACCAAACCCATTGTCCTCTAGTCCATTCTGACTCACAGAGATCCTACAGGACAGAGTAGAACTGCCCCATAGGGTTTCCAGGGAGCAGCTGTGGATTCGAACTGCTGACCTTCTGGTTAGCAGCCGAGCTCTTAACCACTGTGCCACCAGGACTTGGTGGATGGTACTAGCTAAACTTTGTATAGCATTTTCCATAAATAAATCCATTTAATCCTGAAACAGCCCCTGAGTGGTACCAACAGTTAACGGGCTTGGTTGTTAACCAACAGGTTTGAGGCTCAAGTCCACCCCAGGGATGCCTCAAAAGAAAGGCCTGGTGATCTACTTCCAAAAAATCAGCCGTTGAAAACCCTGTGGAGCACAGTTCTACTGTCACACACATGAGGTCGCCATGAGTCAGAATCGACTCCATGGCAACTGGGTAATATTCATACAATCCTATGAGGTAGGTGCTATTATCATCCCCATTTTACAGAGTAGGAAAATGAGAACCAGAGAGGCTAAGTAACTTACCTAGGTCAGCTGTTATTTAGTGGCAAAGCTAGTAATCTGGCTCAAGAGTCTGTACTACATTTATCTACATTGTAGATAAATCTAAATCTTTTCTATCTTAGCAGAGGAGAATGAAGGCCGAGTAGTTCAGAACTAGGGTATACACCAGCACCCCCCTTTGACAGGCATAAACCCAAGAGCCCCAAGCATTCAGCACTGCCAATACCCTGGAGAGCAAAGGTTTCAGCATATTCATATGATAATCCAACCCAAAACTGCTGTTTTCACGAAGCAGTATTGCGATAAAATGGGAAGGACATTCAATTTGGATTTGAGTCCCAATTTCTGCAAGCCTGAGTAATTTTGGGACTAGTCTTTTCCACTTTCTGAGCCTCACTTGCCTCTTCTGCAAAGTAGGAATCATCATAATGATGTCTTCCCTCATTAGTGTTCTGAGAATCAACAGTTCACTACGTTATAAAGCTTACACAAATGTTAAGTTGCTGATCTTACTTTTGGCTCATTTTACTTTTCCATATTTTTTGGCTATATATGAGACTCTTGATTACTG